AAAAAAAAAAAAAAAAAAACCCAAAACAGAAAACCTTCAAAGGAGCTTGTAGCTCATTTTCCCTTCCTTGGTAATTTTTTATTTTACACTTTCTTAAACTCCAATACATAAATAATCACCAGACACACAGAGGGAAAAAGTCAGGTTCATTTTGTGCTAGCCATATGTTTCCATTTAGAATTTCCGTGTGAGGAGACGATGGTGGTTTAGAACAGCACACATGTGGTGATTTTGCGCATAATGTCACATGCCGAGTTCGTGTTCCGCTGGCGAGCCTCAGCTGCTCATGAAGCAGTGCTTGCTGCTCAGTGGAGGCATGCAAAGGCTTTCTTTATCCCACCTCCAACTCCATGACAATTAGAGTAGGGGGTTGGCTTAGGCACTAAGAGTCTTGGGTGCTATTCAGTGTTACAAACATGCTGGCTCTCTACTCTGTTCAGAGGCTGGGCTGAGTGGTTCTGGGCCCTTGGCTGTCCTGTAGCTTGCTTTCTGGTGCAGGGAGACCCTCTGATGACTCTGGGCATAGCTATGGCTGAGAAGTCAGAGTGCAGTGCTATTAAGAAAGTGACCTACAATAACTCCGAGGAACAGAGTTTGCAAGGAGGTGGGGAGTTGACTTCCTGGTAGAAAAATGAAGAGGCTGAACTTACTGATTCTGCTATCCAGGTTTCATTTACCTAGGCAATATTGTTTATTCCTCAACACAACAATGTGATGGATATGTATTTGATATATATAATATAATAGTAATATGTATTATAATATTAATACATATTCTATAATATATAGAATATTCATAATATTATATAATGTTTATATATATATGTGTGTGTGTATATATATATATACATATATATATATATATATATATATAGTTTATGTATTTATTTTGTGAGAGAGAATTAGAACACAGCAGGGGAGGGGCAGAAACAGGGAGAGAGAGAATCCCAAGCAGGCTCTCCACTGTCAGCACAGCGTCCTATGCAGGGCTTGAACCCGTGAACCATGAGATCATGACCTGAGCTGAAATCAAGAGTCAGACACTTAACTGACTGAGCCACCCAGAAGCCCCATATATATTTTTAATTTAAAAAATAATGCAAGGGTAATTAACAGTTAAAATCCTGTTGGAACATATACATCTCACCTCACACTGTCAGCTTCCATCCCCAAGAGAAACCAGAGTAAGTGGTTTATTCTATAGTGTTTTCTGTTAATTTTCCAATTAAATGTGTGTACACTTCTTTGTGAATGCATCGTTTATTTTTATACAAATGGGAACACACTAAATACCCTGTACTGGACCTGATAGTTTTTACTTAACATATCCCAAGATAATTTCCATGACAGTAGGTACATAGGGCTTTACCTCTTTTTGTTTTTATTTTTTATTTTAAAGAGAGAGCCTGTGAGCAGTGGAGAGAGGTAGAAGGAGAGAGAGAGAGAATCTCAAGCACGCTCCACACTCAGCATGGAGGCTTACACGGGGCTTGATCCAACGATCCTGGGATCATGACCTGAGCCAAAATCCAGAGTTGGTCACTCACAGAGTTACCCAGGCTCCCCCTTTTAAAATACAATATAGCTTTCAGTATATACGTTGGAGTTTTGAGAGGATCCAATAAATAGCACTCCCCTTCCCCTGTTCCTGAGGTTCTGAACAATTTGAGAAGGAAACAAATAGAGGCCACAGATAAAATTTTACTGCAGATAGAACCTGGGATTTATGTGACTAGTCAAGCAGGCTCGTTCATACCGAGCTTATGTATGTGGAACCCATTTATGTAGCTGAGCTCAGTTCCCAAAATGAAAAGGATAAAGCCAAGCCATGATCTACCATGCAGATAAGTTATGCTTCCTTCCCCAGGGGGTAGAATGACTCAAAGGCAGGAGGGAGGCCACAGGGATGCTTAAAAATTCCTTTTCCACAGAAACCAGAAGTGGAACCAGTGCTGTTCTCTGACAGTATGGACAAAGCATCCTTAATTTAGCTAGTCCCCTGCTGATGGATGTTTATGTTACTTCTGTCCCTGCTACTGGGCATGCATGTTTGTATTCTCTTTTAACACAAATGGAAAGAGGCTCCAGGAGGTTACATGTTCAAAGTGAGACCTAGTGAGAGGCAGAGCCAGAGATGTGACTCACATCTGACTTAAAGTCCAGGACTCTTCATTTTCCGCAGCCTGTAATTGTTCACCCGATTCCTAACATCTGTATGGAAAATTAGTAATAGTCTATGAGTCAATTTTAGGTAAATCCTCTTACTACTTCCTTACAATTCTCATGTGGGGAGGTTGAGGCAGGAAATATTCTCTCCATTTTATAGCAAAGTAAATGAAGTTTCAGAAAGGTTATTACATCTTTACCTAGCATCACTAATTAATGGCAAGGTTTAAGACTCAACCTCTGTTTTTCTCCTTCTCCTCTATCTCAGAGAGCCCCAGGCAGTGACCCATGGAGTGCAGACCAAGAGGAGGGGGCAGAGTTAACAGATATATTGATGGGCAAATACAGGATTTGCTCCAGGAATGCCAAAGTATCCTCTTTCAATGATATGCAGATTATGTCCTTCCTAGGCATGCCTGTGTGTGATCTGTGCATAGCAGTGGCTGGGAAATGTTTAAAATAGATTCTTATGTTCCACTTAGACCTACTAAGAGAATGGAATCAGGAACCCACATTTTAACATGATACCTGGGGTATTCTGATGAAACATAGACTATGAATTATGGATCAGAGAAACCCTGCTTTGGGGAATTTTCTAAAATTTAAAACTTTTGGGGATGCAGTGAATGACTCATAATCAGAAGAATTGCTTCTTGAGCCTATGTGTTATTGTGGAAAGAACATGGGCTTTGGAACTAGCTAAGGCTAAATTGATTTTTCATTCCACCATTCCATTGGGTGGGTCTACTGGAGAAAGTTATGAGCCCACTGAATCTGAGCCAGCTTATGTACAGTACAATCTGTTATGAAGATTAAATGAGATGATATATGCAAAACCCTGCCCTTTAGATCTTCCATAAATGTTACTTGCTCTCCATTTCTTCTAACATTTTTTTCAACAACCCTTCTCCTCTCCTCCACCTGTGACTTCTCTGAAGCGCATCTTCTTGGTCTCATTTATCTTCCCATTGCTATAGCTTAAAATCCCTGCTACAGAAAACAGCACAGATGCCCAATAGTGCAAGGCTTGCATTAATCAGGCTGCTACACTGATGGGCCTTATTGCTTGTTCTAGAAGATCCATGGAATGAAATGAGTAAAGCACAATTACCATGTCCCTTCTCAGAGGACATGTGCGCTGACTCATTAACAAAATGTTAAATTGAAAAGTTTGTGTTGAAATGGGATTTTGCTTATATTCCCTAAATGTCTTGAAATGACCTGGGACTGTTATAGGCAAACTTTGGAAGTAGGCCTTTTCAGTTTTCTTCTGATGCCTCTGTTTTCTTTGTTTTCAGTCTACTCTGTAGCTATCGACCCCAACTGAGCAGCTCTCCAGGGGGAGACCTTTCCTCCTTCTTGCCTTGGCTTCAACATGGTACCTCCTGTGTCTCCTAACCTCAGAATGCTTCTCTAAGAATAGGATGAGATTAAAAATAGCCCCCAAAGGGTTTTCATACTAGTAACAGCTGGGTATGCTAATTACACTCGTCTTTTGAAATGAAGCTTTTCAAGTCCTAGAATAAAATGAAAAGGAAAAGTAGAAATTTTTCATATCTTAGTAGTCTTAGGATGATATCAGGGGAGAGACTGAGGTTCAACTACTACCTGAGGGATTACATAACTTGGTGATGGAGGAGATGTCTTACAACTGTAGTCACCACTTTAACAGGCAGAAAAGCAAGCAACATGAATATAAACAGACAAACATTCTTTGGGAAACAAAGAAACAGTGGAAAGAAATACTTAAAATCACAAGTACTAGATATATGGTCCTAGAACTTACTGATGTGAAATTATACTTTCAATTTTGCCCACCTCAATGTCTAATTGACCCAAACTTTTATCTTACCCAAAAAATTCATTCACCATGATCATTTTAAAAGAACAACAGAGAAAGTACATTTATAAAAATTACTTTTTTCTAATAACAAAAGTAATATATATTTGTAATTGAATATTTAGAAAATATTTTATTATTTTTTTTTAATTGAAAATTTTTTAAATGTTTATTTCTAAGATAAAGAGAGGCAGAGCACCACTGGGGGAGGGGCAGAGAAAGAGACACAGAATCCAAAGCAGGCTCCAGGCTCTGAGCCTGGAGCACAGACCTGGACGTGGGGCTCAAAACCACAGTGAGATCATGACCTGAGCTGTAGTCAGAGGCTTAACTGACTGAGCCACCCAGGTGGCCCTGGAAACCGTTTTTAAAAGAGAAAGTAAAAAGCAGAGTCCCCAGAGATAATCACTGTACACTTTGATGCATATATATTCACTCTTTTTTCCAATCATCAAGTCAAAGTTTGGGGAGTGAAAAGGGGAATTTTAATGTATATATTTTTATTTTGCTTAAAAATATGGAATATACAGGTGCTTTTCAAGATTTTATGCATATAGGAATCACCTGAGGACTTTGTTTAAATGTAGATTCTGCTTCAGCAAGTCTGGGCTGGGGTCTGAGAATCTACATGTCCTCATGCAGTGTACGTGGCACAATGTGAAAAGTAGCAGGTGTGTACAGCATTCTGTGCATTACTGATTTCCTACCAACATATTTTTAGTCACTACAAATATTCCATTTACAATGTGTGTAACTCAACAATGTTATACCAGTGGCTGTTCCGTTTATTCGTTTATTTTTATCATATTATAGAAGGTACTATGATGAGTTAAAAAAATTTTTTTTTACATTTATTTATTTTTGAGAAACAGGGAGACAAAGCGTGAGTGGGGGAGGGGCAGAGAGCGAAGGAGGCACAGAATCCGAAGCAGGCTCCAGGCTCTGAGCAAGCGGTCAGCACAGAGCCTGATGCGGGCCCGAACCCACCAACAGAGCCTGATGCGGGGCCCGAACCCATCAACTGTGAGATCATGACCTGAGCCCAAGTCCGACGCTCAACCGACTGAGCCACCCAGGCGCCCCTATGATGAACTTTTACACGGAGAAAACTTAACACACACTCACTAAGATTTCTTTGAAATAATTTCCTTGAAACAAGAATCATCAAAATTACTCCAAATTTTAAGGCATTTAATACATATTGCCACTACCTGATGGGGGGAAACGCAGTTTTGAAAAGTAATGTTAACTAACTAGATGTATTATGCTGACCTGATTTTTTTTGTTTGTCTCTGTATCTTTTCCCTAGGGAGAAGGCGTTCCTGTCTCCATGGTAACCTCACTGCCTTCTCTTGTATCTTTCTCCGTATTCTGCTACTGGTGTTTGCTGCCAAGGGTGTCTGCTCCTCACTGGCCAGTGTGTTAGCCTCAATGCTGAGCACTCAAGAAATGATACCGCAAGTGGTGAAATGAAAGGATAAGTCTTTCAATATATAAATACTTGCTACAGCATTAGAGTAGGGGCAGTATCAACTTCTTTTCTAATACATGAGATACTGTGTCCGCTAATTAAAACCTGAACATGAAAAATTGTTTGCTGCTTCTTAGAGAAAATCACTCACAACAGGCTTTGGTGTTAAAATATTTCGTTTTATAAAGCAGCCCATGTTTGTGCCTAGCTGGTTATGGTTTCAGAACGATGTGCACCAAAACCTGCGGGCTGGGGGCGCCTGGGTGGCTCAGTCGGTTGAGCGTCAGACGCTTGATCTCAGCTCACGTCATGATCCCAGGGCCATGAGACTGAGCCCTGTGTTGGGCTCCACACTAAGAGTAGAGCCTGCTTAAGATTCTCTCTCTCTCTCTCCCCTTCTGTCCCTCTCCCCCAATGGAGCTCTCTCTCACTCTTTAAAATTAAAAAAAAAAGAAAAACCCAAAAAGCAAAAAGCAAAATTCATTCTAAAAAAACCCCCAAAGCCTACCGGCTGTCATTATCATACTGGGCCCTTTATTAACAGCATAATGTAGTAACACTTATATAATAGTTTGTTATGATACTGCTAATGATATAATAATGCTAATATGTTTTACAAGTCCCATGTGGATTGTGTTCTTATAATTATTCATAATGGATTTTTGCACTGTTTTTTATATTTGAAAATATTATATTAAATATTATTATCTTGATCATCAAGGATTTTTGACTCCCTTAAATTTCTCACCTGAAGTGGGAGCCTCACTTGCCTCATCATGGTTCTGGACCTAGAAGTTAACTGTAAATTCTTAAGATTTTTGAGCAGGCAAGTGAAATTTATAACTTGAATTTTACACATTTTCAAGTGATATCACTTAACCAGGTAATATTTGCTTGACTTATCATTTGTGTATTCAATTACTTTTCTCCTTGGTGTTCATATCTAATCAGGTACCTATTTAAATTGCTGTACCTGTGGGTCTCTCAGGAATTGGTGCTTGCTTTCTGCAGGCAACAAACCGGAATATTTTTGAGACAGAACTATTCACACGAATACCTACTTTCTCAATTGAAAGTTATTCCTTTTGTTCAATTCCTGGCTCGAAATAGTTTTTTGACTCCTGTTGTGTGACAGGAACTGTGATAGGCAAGTGCTATGTAGGAAAAAATGAGTAAAACATGATATGTGCTTTCAAGTTGGTCCCCTTTGATAGTGGAGGCAGTCAATACACTAAGATATAATTAAATCCAGGTTTTAAATGGGAGCAGAGAGGAAAGACAGGGACACTTGTAACGCAGGGACGGTGTGTTGGTCATGCGTAAATTGTCTCTTCCAGGAGTGGGTTTTATGCATCTGTTATATTCACAACACCCTCCCTCTCTCCCTCACTACCTCTTCTACCTCCTCCTATCTTTCCCTCAGTCTGTAGCCATTATCCTGGGAGGACTTAGATGCTTTGGCCAATGCTCATTTAATCTAAGTTAAGATTTACAAAACAAAACCTGGAGTGTATTTGTATGAGCAGGAAGTAATTCTATATTGAAGCCCATATGGTGTCACGTGTAGATTGAGAATCACCATGTCTGCTGAATTATGTTATCACTGACTTCGAAGTTATCATTGTGAAGCAGCAGCTATTGCCAGGAATAGTAAATCATATCTCATGCTTTATAAGAACTGGTATTATGGATTTTCCAAAGAACGTGTTTTTAATAGAAGGCACAAGTCGTCGCCCATACCATATACAGGCAAAGTATGGATTTATTTGTATTATTTACTTTTGGCCATTTTAATTTGATTTCAAAATATTTATTGAACGCTCACGACATGAAAATGAATAAGCCCAATCCCTATCTTAAATAGCTTGAAATTTATTGGGGAAAAAGCCGTGTCCACAAGTATCTGAAGTCTGAAGCCAAGTGTCCCGTGTGTTAGCATGGATACGAGTCATTTGGAGGCAGTGAGGGGAAGGAACAATTAAGTTCAGACTGGTAATGGGGAAGAAAAGAGGACTTACCAGAGGAAGGGGCATTTGACCTAGTTTTTGACAACTGTGCAGGTTTGGTTTTGTTTTGTTTTGGGAAGTAAATAAGCAAAGACATTTGATACCAGGAAAGTCATAAAAATAAATGCCAGTTTGGGGAATTGGGAAGTAATTAGGTGTTGTTGTTGATCAGTGCTTCTTAATCCTGGCCGCACATTGGAATCACATGGGGAGCTTTAAAAATACTGGTGCCTGAGTTTCACCCCCACAGATCCTTCGGTATGGCTTATACATTGGGAGTTTTACAAGGTCCCCAAATTATTCTAATGTGCGGCCAAGGTTGAGAACCTCTGCTGTAGAGAGTACTATACTTCATATGGTACTATGAAGCAGGAAAAAAAAAAAAAAAGGAAATGAAACCTATTTTTCTTGGGCTGAATTATCCTTGTATAATTATCCCTGAATTATCCCTGAAAAAAAATGAGATCCTCATTTGCGATTACAGAAACATGACCAGTGTCCAGGACTCACTGTGAGAAAGGACAGGGTTGGAGGTGAAGGGGAGGGAGTTAGAGTCAAGAAGCAAGGGAATATTTAAGAAAAGAGAAGTCGGTACTTCATTTTTCCTAATGGCTGTATTCAACCTGGATTCTGAAAGTATGGAAACTTGACCTAAAACTACTCCTTTTCCCCCTTTCTTCCCACCAACTATCAAATGTGTACGTGAGATAGGGTACACACATGGGAAAGCGAATCCACTGAAGGGGGGCAGGGTTCTTCCAGGGTAGATGGAGGGAGAGGACAGGCACTGACATCATCCCTCACCCCTTCGATCGCCCAAGCTCAAGGCTTCCTGTCATCTTCCTCCCCAGGCACGTCCTATCAAGTCTGCCTGACAATAGCTCCCACGTTCTGTCAGATGATGGCCTTCTTCAGGAAACCTCTCCATCCAAATGAAACCTCTCCATCCAAAAGTTGGGTGAATAAAAGTGCCTGTGAAAGGATCTTCTTCTCTTAACAGGTAAATACTTGCAAGCCAGTGTTTCCTACCTTTTTGATGATTCTAGCACAACATGCTTCCAATCCATGCTTTCATACCCTGTTCTCCCTATTTCCCTCCATCTTTACCAAGTATCATGCTCGACGATGATCTATGTAAGGGTCTGGATGGCCATCCTTGTTTTATTCTCACCAGCATCTAGCACAGAGATGGATATAGATTTGTTAAATGTTGATTGAGTAATTATCCTACATGCTTTCTAGCACATAGTTCCTATTTTCTTTGCCTGTCCGTATGCCTTTTTAACCTGTGACCCCTGGATAACTCTTTGACATCAAAACCCTGGGATTTTGTCTCAATAGATCTGTAGAATCTAATTAAAGGTCAATCCTTTTGAATGCTTAGTTTTCATTAATGTTCTATCTCTCCACATTCCATAATATCCTCCCACCTCATTCTGTTTCCTAAAAAAGAAAGACTTACTGTGTGTGTGTGTGTACATTTATATATAGTGTATATATATATATATATATGTATGTGTAAATGTGTGTACATATATATGTAGTAAATACATGAGCACTAATGAGTAAGCGGGCCCTTGCAGGAAATGTATCAACATCAACGAATTGATCCACCTCTGAAATATTCCACGATGAACCATCACTCATGGGAACCATCTTATTTCTACACATAGAGAAGTACTTTGCCAACCACAAGAAAATTATGCACTCACCATGATAAAGAATGAGTATGCATTTAGCTTCTTTTTTCTAATCTCACTATTTCTCTTCAGGCCCTACGCAATGTCTCCTTTCTTAATGAGATAATGTTCTAATTTCCCTGCTTCCTAACTTATCATGTCTTCCCTCCCCATCTCTTTAAAATATATAAGTGCCAGATAAATTTTTCTTAAATATGGTTGTGGTAATCATTTCCCTACTCAAAACTTCTCATTGGCTCTCTCTTTCTAACTCAAATATGTCCATCTGCCTTGGGTGTTCACAGGGACCTCACACCCTGGCCCAACTTTTCCTACCCAACTCTTCTCCTGCTCATTTCTGTTACATCATGCTCAGCCAAATGTGCCTATGTGGTTGCACTCTCCCTCTAGCACACCCTTTGCTCTCACCTTGGCTTTGTCTTTGCTACTTCCTCCTTATGAACTGTCTGTATTCCCACTAAGAACACTTACCCATCCTCCAGGTTCGAAATCTCTTTTGTGAAACATTCCCCAATTCCTACAAATGAACATAATTTCTGCATTTTTTCCAATCTCTTCATTCAACTGTCTTTGTATTTCCCCAGATCCCTCAGTCTGGTTTGCTTTATAAATATCTATAATCATCCAACACTGTCTTCCTGGCTGATTCCTCTAGCACCATGAACTGAACTCAGTAGATGTATCACAGGTATTTGAGAAACATTTTGTGAAAATGCAGTGAAGGATTAGGGATGAGAATAATGGTGTACATTTTCTTGCGTCCACAGTATCAAAAAGGAGGCCTGATGGGGAGGCATAACAATTAGCTACCTAATATTTAGAGAGCTTTAATCCCTATAATTTTTATCTCTAAACTTTTTATATCTTTCCCTTGTACTAGCCATCGCCTTCCCACACCCATATACATATTCACATAACCACATGGGTATAGGTGGGACTTCTGTTCAACATGAAAGATAAGCAGGACTAAATTCACTTTGATCATTCTGAGGTGGGCAAAAAAATCTAACATCATTTAGATGCAAATAGTCTTTAGTAACGGAGAAAAAATCATTAACATTTCTGCGTAGCAAACAAGTTATAATCTACTTAATATGCTACACAATTTTATGCAGAGGAAATAAAAAATATATATGATTATATATTTAAGAACAAAAAAAATGTGTTCCAGCTATACCTGGTGGAATATTAAACAAAAAGTAATCTGGGAATACTGAGAGAGAGAGAGAGAGAGCGCACTCCTGAACAGCTTCTGTTCTGTACACAGCAACACTATGAACATTTGAACATTTAGTGACATCTGGAGAAAAAAAGAGTAAGCCGGAAAAACAATCTGTCTTTTGTGACACATTTTTGAGTTGGATCCAAGGAGCAACTTTTAGGCACAAAATAGCAAATAACTGTTTTATGTTGGAGAGATTATTTTGTTCTTCCGTTTCCAGGCTGCTCCTCTGTAACTACACCCCCTGTAACTGCCTGTGTTTGATTCAGAAACACTCCATGGGTTGAGTGGCATGGCTCATCTGGAAGCTTCCCCTTGACAACCAACATTGCCATGGCCAGTTTTGCTACTTTTAATGATAGTCCTAGTAAACATTAGGTATTTTTGATGTGTAAATGTTAACTACTATCTTCTGTATTAATAATGAAAGAGCCAAGGGAGCTCCTTTATGTTATCCCGAGTAAGTCAAAGACTCTCCTTTCCAGCTTTTGGTTATCGATTTCATTGTGATAAAAACAGAGTACTGAATCACCATAAAAACTAAAAGTTCCTCATGCATACACCACCTTTTAGGCTGCCAAATGAGACCAGGAGAGAATGAAGCATTCTCCCTATACCACGACTGAATTTATAAAGTGATTTCACTTTTTAAATCACCAGTACATTAGCTGAAGACTTTTATACTATATTCCCTCTTCCTCACTGGCGTTCCTCTGATTGCCTTGATTCAAGCACTTGAACGGTGACAGTGACTACCACAGCCTCTGATGCATCCCTGCCTTCCCCCCTCGCCCTCCTCGATCCACCCTCCTCCACCCTGCTGCCGTGGATGCCTCTGAAAGTAATTTGAATCATATAATCTGTTGAAATCATTCTGAACTTTCTCCTTAGCTGGCCATATGAAGCCGGTGAAGATCTGACACTACTTAGCTCTTACCATTTTCCCTTTCGCTGCCCTTGCATCGGTGCATTGTTGTGCTCTGCCCTTAATCTGTGGTGCTCCCTTCAGAGTTTATGTCCTCTCCCAAATGTTCCTTTCTCCCCTTGCTCCAGGCTTTTCCCACTCAACCATCCAGTCTATCCATCACCTCTTCAGAGATGGCTCCTTGCCTCCCCCACAACATGTATCCATATCCTCTGTGGTTCCTCCCTCAGCTCTCACCCCACCACACTGTCATGGCACACTTCATGTCTCCCCAGCTAGACAGTGATCACTGAGAGGGCTATTTGCCGTACCTTTTTTAATCTTTCTATCAACATTCCCTCATACAGGACCATTTACTACGGAGGTGTTGATTATGTGTTTGTTGAAATAAGATCCATTCTAATTGCCTAAAAGTAACTCACATATTTTACACAACACCCCCCTCCCTGCCATTTCTCTTTTGAACTACCCCTTTTCTGCCAAATTAAAATAAATCAGTGTGTGTGTGTGTGTGTGTGTGTGTGTGTGTGTGTGTGTGTAAACAAAACCATCCAGGGAGAATATATTCAACATGTTTATACAGGGTACAAGATCACAAACAACTCACTGTTTAGGTGATTTTTCTCATTTTCTCTTATATGACAGATATTGCTGAGATCCTTAGAAGAACCATTCTGATCAGTTAATTTCAGTTGTTACTTTCAATTAAATTGATCAGCACAGACCATGCTTCATGGAGGGGTGATCAGGAAAATTGGTGCTTGTGGGTCTCTGACGCAAAACAGACTAACCTCTTCAGTATGTGATCTGGAGGTACCTTAAAAATGTTTTGGAAACATTCTGTAGCTGAGTTTGCAGTCACAGTCCACAGACTGGTGAGGAAATCACATACTTGGAGACTGTGCTCCAAGAAGTATTATTGATGGTGATGAAAATGTACTCAGAGAGAGCAATAAATCAGGGGCTATTTGACCCATTTCATGAGCTGCACTCCATGTTAGGTTTCTACAGTAAATTCCTCAATGCGTTCACCATCTTTCCCTTTCTCCAGGATACATATGCACATGATACACACACACACACACACACACACACACACACACACACACACACACACTTCAGCAAGATTTTGGTCAGAAATAATCCATCCAGGTGATATGGATACAGTCAGAACAGAGATTTTATTTTTTTAACAAAAGTCCTACAATTTGCAGTCAGAACTGATGCAAATTGGGGAAAGAATTGTTGCTCTTTGATTGGGCAAGTCTACCACCAAATTAATAAGAAAAGCACTGTTGGTATTTTGAACACGGGGTATTATTATAATTAGAACAGTTGCCTCATTTGTAAAGGAAATAAAACTGTAATTCTTAGCAGTGAGTTATGGTTGACGGGTGAAGGAAGATACGTTTTCACATTCCATTATGAAAAAGATAACTAAGGACTCACATTTGTTATTATATATGTCCTCTCTCTTGGTAAGCTCTTCCCTTTAGGCACTAGGCTCCTTGAAGGCAGACATGAAAGTGTCTATAGCTACTGTACTGACACTGGTCAAAATTCTGTGCCCCATGCAAGTGGCTTTGTCTAGACTGGTACATTTGTTATCTTAAAAAAAAAGTGTGAAGCTGGCTCAAATATTGTTTTATTTGAAGCACAATCTCCTTTGGAGTGGATCTATTTCAGAAAGGTTTTACTGAAGTATTGAAAAGGATCCTTTAAGGCTGTCTGATCTTCCCTTGACATGGCAGAATTATGGGGAGCCTTTGATGAACTGAACACCTGGCTAAGTCAGGCAACTGGGGGAATAGAAAAGAATGAAGGGTCGGGTGGGGCACAGAGACTGGAGTATGTGAAGCAGCCAGAAGCTAAAGGTGCAGGTACCTCCTGTGTTCCAAGCACCAAGAGAGAGGAGCTGTCTCATGCTTTATTTCATTTCATTTAATCCTCCACCAGAAGCTTGCAATGGAAATTATTCTGTCCCTTTTATATTTGAAGAAACATTCCCCTGGAGATTGAGAGATTTGTTTGTGTAGGCCATGCATGACAGAAGCAGGATTCAAATCCACCTACTTTGAAGTCAGTGCTTTTCCTAACATCCCACAACATGTGGCATTACCCACAGTGACTTGAGAGTCACTGTGCTTGGGTTTCTCTCACTTAGTGTGTGGCAATGGACAAGTCACTTCACTTCTCAGGGTTTGGTTTCTCAGCCCTCAGCACAAGTAACAATGCTTATCTGTGTTCATCGTAGGGGTGTTGTAATGACCCCACAAAATAGCACATGTTAGAAATCATTTTGTAAATTACAAAGCACCAAATGTTATAAAGGGTTACAGCCCTTGACCCACACCTCTTTATTAAGAAAGAGTAAGGCAATTTGGGAGACACTGGTTTTGTGGTCTATGAACTTGCATTCACAATTACGTAAAGATCTCTGCTGCTAGGGTCGATTAATTATAGCTGCCATTTTGTAGTGCACGGCTTATCTTGCATACAATTAATTATTCCATAAATCAAATAAGCAAGATGTTGGCAAATGACATCTGCAGTCTTTGATCTGACAGAAAAATATATTATGCACCATAAATATCACAAGCCAACTTCTATTTTTCAGACATTTTGATGCTGGTACGCAGGAGCAGGTTGTTACTGTGAATGCTGCTGGTGATGGTTGAATGTGCCTAGATCTCTCAACAGCTCAGGGGACAGCTCTTTAAGTTCTGACCTCAGGTTAGCAGGCTCATTTAACAATTCAAGATGAAAGTGGGATAATTGAGACTTCATTGAAATAATTGCATCAGGACAGCTAACACCCTTTGTTCTGAGAACTCTGGTCTCTGAATACTACTTTACTTATCTTATGTGACCTTGATTCCTTCTTCATTTTTCTTTTATTTAAAACTTTTAAAAACAATTTCATTGAGGAGTAGTTGACATATAACATTAGTTTAAGACACACAACACAATGATTTGATATTTGTATATATTGCAAAATGATTACCACAGTAAGTTACTGACCATCACTACACATAGTTACAAATGTTTTCTTATGATGAAAATTTTTCAGATTTACTCTTTTAGCAACTTTCAAATATGTGACACAGTATAATTAACTATAGTCACCATGCTTTACATTACATCCCTAGGACTTATAACTGGAAGTTGGTGCCTTTTGATCTCCTTTCTCCTTCTGTTAAGAGTACCTGGAATAGTCCCTGGCACATAGTGGGTACTCAACAAATATCTATCTCAGACTCCAATCTTAGGCCATTTACCTTCTGTTTCCTTAGCACTACTGACTGGTTGCCTCTCCCCTTGCAATTTCACTTGACCCTCAGGGTCTTACACCACATACAGGCCCTGCTGTATCCATCTGGATTCAACCTTAGCCTAGGATCCTGGTTATCTCATAGGCTTCCAGTAGGCTCACACTCTAAGAAGTTACAGTTCTGTACATATTCCTGTATCTTCACTGCTCTCTACCCTCACCTGGGAGCACTCTAGCCAGGAAGAAGAATGACCCTTTCTGTAGCAGTTGGACTTGGTTGAGGTTGACAGAATACAATCTGGATGGTTTGGTTTAGTGTATTTTAATGACACTCACAAAATACCTTTTTCCATTTCCCAATAAGGTCAGAACTTCTTAATAGGTAAATTTATAGTTTTATCTGTTGTTGACCTAGAGATGCATAAATAGTTTTCATTTCTTTAATTTGGTAAATTATCCATGGATTGGTGAGTTATAAATGATCTCTTCCAGTCTTTTACCATTCTATTATCCTTTGGTTGTTTTCTTTTATGGTTTATTTATTTTGAGAGAAGAGTGGGGAGGGACAGAGAGAGAGAGAGAGAGAGGGAGAGATAGAGAGAGAGAATGAGAATCCAAAGCAGGTTCCAGGCTGTCAGCACAGAGCCCAACCTGGGGCTTCATCTCACGAACTGCAAGATCATGACCTAAGCCGAAATCAACAGTCAGACACTCAATTCATTGGGCCACTCAGGTGTTTCAGTTTTTTTCTCTTTACACATTAGCTTGTCACTTAAAATGGAAATTTAATTTATTTGAATCTTTCAATATTTCTCCAGAAACAGTAAACTTCTCTGTACAGCCAAGCATACCACCATGAAAAGGTCATACCATTACAATCTATCATGACATGTATACTGTATTTCATTGATTTCATTGGTTCTAACCTGCACATCTTTTTACCAGATAATATCTCTAAAATTGGCCGCATTTTACAACTGCAAGCCTCTTGTACCATTTCATGATCTAATGGACAGTATTTTTTTAGTTTTTTTTTTAACGTTTATTTATTTTTGAGAGAGAGAGAGAGGTGGGGGAGGGGCAAGAGAGAAGGAGACAGAATCTGAAGCAGGCGCCAGCCTCTGAGCTTTCAGCACAGAGCCCGATGCGGGGTCTGAACCCACAAACTGTGAGATCGTGGGCTGAGCTGAAGTTGGGCACAACCAACTGAGCCACCCAGGCGCCCCTATTTTTTCTTTTTTATAACTATATGAAATAATGGTATATCATGCAACCAGTGGTGCCTTAGAATTGATGGAAAGTAACTTAAAGCTAATCATAGCTACAACTTTTAATTCACAATTGTTAGACACTGTATAGTATCTGATTCAATCTCATTCCATCCACCTTTTGCTGTGCTTCTCTGCACTGCATAAGCTGAAATGTTTAAAAGTTTCCCAGGCTTCAATACAGCCAGAGTTTGGCCTGAGAATGGGGTTTGCTAAATAAATGAGCACACAAAACTTGGAAGATGAAAATAAGACAAAGGGTGTCTTCTTGATCCCTTTGAACGTGTATTTCTGGCAAACAGGGTCTTGAGGACAACATATTACCCTGCAAGAACATTCCAGTGGACTTCTCAGATGCATCCTGGTTTCCAGAGGCAGCTGTGAAGCAGCAGCAGAAGCTTCAGTGGGTTTCTGATTATAGTTTGTTGGTCTCTAAATCACTCTTCTGCAGTGTGCTCTCTGACTCAATAGCTATAGTGGTGGGATCAGAGATCCCCTGGTAGGTAAGTGTTGTGTTGTTCTGAAGGTAATTTCTGGAGGCCCAGCCTGTAATTTATTCTTCTATCCCCTCCAGTAATTTTATAAATACCCAATTCCCTGTATTGGATAACTTCCTGTTTAAAATACCTGGAGTAGTTTTTGTTTCCTTTATGAGGGTGACTAACAGTTATACCAGATTATTAAATACACTCTAAAACAAAGAAAGTTGTCAAAGACATTTTCTTTCGATCAATTATAGCTATTTTTTAGACCTGAGAAACAGGCGTCAGGGTTTGTCATCATGGTTGAAGTAAACAATGCAATGCAAATGATTTCCTTGAGAGAAATGACAGCACTTAGTATTTTTATAACCTCATTAAATGACTGTAGAAGAAGAACTATTGTTGCAATAACATCCTCAATTTCTTTATTGAAGGCAGAGGAGCGTAAGCAAACAAGTAGGTGGACACATAAATAAATCATTGTTAAATTATGAGCAAAGAACTACACAAAATACTTTCACATTTATCTCTTCATTTGTCACTTGAAGAAATAGAGTTTAAAGGAAAAAAACTCTGCTATATAGGATATCAACATAAACATCAGTCTGACCTTAAATAAGTCATTTCATTTTGTTCTGACTCAGGTCTTCTTCCTATAAAATATGGAGAATAAGACCAGTCACTTGCCTGGATTTCAAGGATATTGTCAAGAAGAAGAATATTAGATAATGTTTTTGCATCTATTTGGAAAAGCCCTTGTAAGTTTGGGGTGTTATTAAACATGGATTAGTTACCCTAAGTGTTATTCTCATTGCTAAGACTTCATAAAGACTCATCAAAATTTGAAATTAAAAATATATAGGAGATTGGTCTAATTAAATAGAGCACATCTCTTTTAAAATTGTAGTTTCAGTCTGCACTGTGAAAGAGCTCTGTCCATAGACGCAATAATGAAATATATCCCAAGGTTAAACCAGGACTGTTCTGAAAGCCATTAGGGATCAGTTCAAAGCTAAATATAATTCACTAATAAATGTTCCTCATTTCAAGTTCCCTCCTCAGAAATGATTAAAAGATACATCTTAGAAGCCAATAATTTTCAGGTTAACTGTCACTTTTTATCTGGGATTTGTTTTCCATTTTTAGTTTGTAGATCTGTGATTTTTAAGCCACATATTAATGTGCTCAGTGAAAACTTTCCTCTAGGATGTATCTATAAGGCTGAACAAAGAGAGGAAAACTAGCAACATGTCTTTTGCTTAAAATGTTTTCATTTCTATGAAATCTATTATAGAATCAAACCGGTGCCTCCTGCTAGTACCTCCTGTGCGATTTTTTCATTAGTTGAACCAGGGCTGAATGTCAAAGGAGTTGATTTAAATATAAGGAGAAAAATAATGTAAACTTGAGTGTTTTTTGTTTTTTTCTTTTTCCAAGGTGAAAACAAATGTATTCCTTTCAATCTGCAGTTATGCAAAAGACTTATATACTTGAGTTATTATATCCATTTTTAAGTAACAAGAATAGAAATTCCCAAAAGACTGCATTTCTATTGCTAATGCTTGCAAGGTAGTTTAATGTGATGGTTAGATGCACAAACTCTGGAGAGCTCAAATTCTGCCACACCAATTTATTAGTTGGGTGACTTTGGACAAATTACTTAACTTTTCTGTATTACTTAGTTTGGAAAAGGAGAAAATAATAGTATCTATTTTTAGGGTCTTGGTGTTAAATGAATTAATACCTTTAAGAAGGGTCTTAAAATATAACCTGCTTCATGCAGGTGCTCAAGAAGCTATGATCACTTCTGTAATGGTATCACTTCCTACAATTTACAATACTGTCATACTTCCTTGTTCATAGAGCCAATCCTATGATCCTTGATCATGTGAGAAATGATCAAGGCCAAACAGAAATTCTTTTTTCTTCTTTAAACTCAACAGGTTATATTAAATAACAGAAATCAAAACAATATGAAAGAATTACGAATCACTAAGCTTAAGGATTGAGCTTGTCCTTAATGTTTTTACAAATATACTCCTATGACTTGATATGTAATTAACATATATGAAAAGGCAGTCATAGAAATCTAGACATCTCTAACACTGCAATGAGACGGATTTGTAAACATTCAACCACCTGACTATATTCCTCAGCTTTTATGCAGTGGGTTGCTAAATTGAGCAGACGTGGATACAGCATTTTCCCCAAAAATTGTGTCCAAGAAAAAACGTATGTCCACCCCTTTTTAAAAAAATATTTTTAAAGTTTTATTTTTTGAGAGACAGAGAGAGACAGAGCATAAGCAGGGGAGGGAGAGAGAGAGGGAGACACAGAATCCAAAGCAGCCTCCAGGCTCTGAGCTGTCAGCACAGAGCCAGATGCAGAGCTCGAACCCACGAAGGCGAGATCATGACCTGAGGTGAAGTTATGTTCAACCAAGTGAGCCACCTAGGTGCCCCAGGTATGTCCATCTCTTAAGATGGCCCATAGGGGAAAAAGAATGGTAGAAGGGGTTCCACAGTCAAATAATTTAATTGAGGAAAGTTGCATAATGTTCTTTCTTACAAATTCACATTAGTGATGGTATATTAAGGTCTTAAAATAAAAAGACATATTTAATTATGTTTAACCATTTCTCCCAAATATTTGATCATAAGATTTTCACCCTTATTACTTTATTGAGAGTTATCAAAATATTGTTTTATTGGGTTTTCAAAATTCATGGACTATTTGCTTGCTAGATTAAGGCCCTTGTCTTGTTCCCTCCAAGGCTGATAATTCCTACTTCTGGCAATGAGATGTTTTATTTTTTGTTTCTTTTATTTTGTTTTTTATTGAGTGATTGACTAATATTTTAAACTGCTTTCTAATTTCCCTTAGGAAATTAGATACCAGGAAGAAAGAAACTAATCATAAGGTATTAGAGGAAGAAAGATGACAGGGAATGTCCATACTTGGGAATCAAACCCTTTCAAATACTTTCTCTTTAGGACAATCTTGCCTATGATTTGGGACTTGAAGCCTAAGTCCTTTGGGCTTTGTTTCTTCGTGTTTTTTCTTCAATTCTCTCTTCCTCACAGATGCTTTAGGATGAAATGAGGTGATAAATGTTAAATTCCTTTATTAGTAAAAAATTGATAAAAATATTTAGACTAGAGTTGCCATTCTTTTTGTTGGGATTTCAAGGACAGTGGTGAACAAGGCTGTGTCATTTGGGAAGTGACAGTAATTGCTTTATAGGGAAGTATTTCCCAGCATGGCTACAGTAGAATCAACCATTAAAGGGATGTTCAAATCATCCCAGGTGTGAATATAAAACCTTTCACTTTGCCTTTTTAAAATGAAAAATATTAATATGTTGCATTTCTCTAGATGGCTTTAGGTATGTGTAATGATTTTCTAAAATTAAATGTATCATCTCCTTTTCTCTTAGTTCTCATGGTTGAGTGGTTTGCTGCTCAGTGGTTCAATTTCATTTATATGGGAGTGGTGTTTCTCATATTCCTTTAGAGTATTTTTTTCTCCCTCCCATTCAGAGGCTGTCCATCTCATTATGGGGACTTCAACACCTGAGATGTCCAGAAAACCCTGGATATCGTGTCAGAAATATTAAATACAGGGCTTCTGTCTGTGGCTTGCCCAGGTTCATGTATTTTGATAGAATGTAATGAAAGAGCACAATGAATTTCAAAGTGCCATAGATATTTAAAGTTTTAAAAACCTTCAATATTATATTCTAGATCCTGCCTATATTAACTACTTCTGAGTAGAAATCAGACAGTTTGGAACATTCACTAAGTCTTTTGGCGTGCCATTTAGAGCCCAGTCTTAAACTATAGTACATATTCAAAATAGTATTCATGGTAGGCCTGATATAATCTATTCAGTATTTAAAACATATAGAAAGAAAAATGAAAATGGACTGCCCCATGGTTACACATTGGAAAAAGAAAGAGTTCTAGTTGCCAGGCATGTATCTTTGGTGAATATCCTCTATGTGCTGAGCTAGTCCAGGTATTGAGGACATAAAGAAGTATAAGACTTGTCCTTGTGTTTTGAAAAAGTAGGTCATTAACAAGCATAGAAGGGGAAAGGAGGAGAGAGCCCCAGATGTGGATAGAAGTAGAGAGGTGGAGGGGCGCCTGGGTGGCTCAGTCGGTTAAGCAGCCGACTTCAGCTCAGCTCATGATCTCACAATCCGTGCGTTCGAGCCCTGCATCGGGCTCTGTGCTGATGGCTCGGAGCCTGGAGCCTGCTTCGGATTCTGTGTCTCCCTCTCTCTCTCTCTGCCCCTCCCCTGCTCATGCTCTGTCTCTCTCTGTCTCAAAAATAAATAAATAAATAAATAAACAAAAACATTAAAAATGAAATTAAAAAAAAAGTAGAGAGGTGGAAATACCTATGCACCACTCAGACTACATGGAATAAGGTAGTAGGTTAGAGAGGAATGGGAACTAAGTCAGTGAGTATTGTTCTAGGAGATGATGAAGGGTTTTAAAAGCTCTTACATTAATATGACGGATACTTGTCTGTGACAGTGCTTTAGGTAAAATTTAAAGTATAAGTAGCCTAGCTATTAAAATTTGGTTGACAAGTAATTTAGCTGAATTTAGAGGATTCTGAAAAAAATTTCTTTTTAACAGTGGTCTAGCAAATTCAGAGTAAATCTTCCAGTGCTTTTCAAGAGAATTCGGATATTATTGGAAACAAATATTTCTGCACATTAAAATAAAGCCAGTTTTTTTTGCAACATCCTTTCTAAATTTATAAACTTATGAAATCTTCATATTGCAGAGGAGTTTGAGGGCAAACTTTGTTGTTTTTACGTACTCACCCAGAATGTACACATCCACAAAATTCCTTAAGTTTCTGACAGCAGAAAAGAAAATGAATAATTAAATGCAGAGAATCATAATTGGAACATATTCAAGAAGTGGAGAATCTGTTTAAAACCGACAACTCATCAGATGTAGTCTACTCAATGGTTATATTTTTGTGTAAGCCTGAAAGCCAA